ATTTATAAGAGTTCAAGTTTATTCAAGTGTTAACCTAATTAAATCGATAAATTATCGCACAAATTATCACAATTTTTTGTTACATCGATATCGAAAACATTATATTGTCACATTGGTCGACATAATCAATAAGAGTGTACAAATCTAATTCAACATAAAATCGAAAAGAGCCTAAAATGTAGTAATATCTACTGAATTACGAAAAAGAATAAGAAAAACGCTTTATACAAAATGAACATGAATTATTTTGGCCATCATTCATACAGGTGAGGCAAAATGTTCGATGACATGTACGACATACCGTAGGAACAGTAGGTATTATTCGACACTGAGAACAAATAATGGATGATTGTAAAGCACCTGGAAGAGAATGAAATAAACTATGTAAAGAAGAATTGTATGAATTATTATTGAATAAGAGATTGGTCGATAATGATTGATTTTGTGTTGCCTGATGAAAATATGATTGGGTTTGATTTGATTGTTGTGAAACAATTAAATTAGTTTGTGTTGGAGCAAATGCAGCTAGCGATGCAAAAATTTGGAGAAAGAAGAAATAAGAATATTTTGTAATTAAATAAACATACTTGATTGCATTGTTGGCGATAATGAATTGTGGAAGAATTGATGTTGTCCATGGACCATATGTTGGCTTGATGGTGCAATTGAGATGGTACTCTTTATCGGTGATATAACGAGTAAATCTGGAACATGACACTTGGTCTTTATTAATATAGTTATCGCTAATCAAAAGTCTTCACAAAAAGTTCTGACTGTCATCTTTATTACGCCTTACGTAAATATTCACCTCGTTCAAAATACCTGTCACCTACCATTTTCTTGATTTTTGCTTCTTTTTGTTGCATTTGATCTTTGACTGGCAGAACGTGATCGTTTCGATTGTTTTTTATCATTAGCTGCTTTCATTTGTTCTAAAACATCCTTCTCTGTCATTATTTGTCCACCTGATTGTTTAAGAACTGTTCGTTGTTTAGCTTTTTTTGATGATTGTTTTGATGATGCGCCAAATACAATTTGTAAAGTATCTGTAATAGCCTTGACTGCCTGTTGAGATTTTGCAGATGTTTGATTTTGTGCTGTATGATCTAGAAGGAATGTGGCCTACGTGATAACATTAATATGTCAGTCAATATTACCATCTACATATGGTGAATCAAAAGAACTAACTGCTGAAGATACTTGTTGTTGTTGACTGCTTCGATTTGATGAAACTGATGAAGCAGTTTTAGCTAATGATATCTTCTTGAATTTATATGGTGGTGAAGATAAATTTGATGTTGCATCATCTTTAAAAAATATTCGAATAATTATGAAATCAAATATAAAAATTACCTTCATCTGTAGAATCAGTACTACTAAGATCCCATGATACTTTTTTTCGTTTATCGCTTTTTCTTGACGATGTGAATTGATCATTTTCAGATTGAGATGTTTTCTTCGATGATGATATAGTTATTGATGGAGTCAAGATAGATTTAGGTGGTACATAATCCTCATCGTCATCATTATCATCATCACTACCATTACTATAAGAAATGATTGAGTTCTGTAAAACATCTTCAAGAGTAGAAATTACCTGACGATATGAAGCAAATGATGGAACAATATCAGTATTATGAGATGAACGAGGCATATTGACATTAAATGGATCATTATCATTATAGTGATGATTATTATTTGTTGGTATGAAGTTAACAGATGTAGATGAATTATTTATTGAATCATTATTGGTTGCATTAGTGGTAGTTGTCGAAGGTGTAGTAGTAGTTGTCGAAGATGTAGTAGTAGTTGTTGAAGGTGTAGTAGTAGTTGTTGAAAAAGTAGTAGTATTTGTTGAAGATTTAGGAGTAGATTTATTATTTTTTAAAATACGAGAAACATCAACAGAACTAGGATCGAATGGAAATATTCCTGTTCGTTTAAATGATTGAATTAAGTTGTTTTTGTTTTTAATTGCTTTTGTTTCAAATAATTTATTTAATAATTGTGGAAATTGTGATTTACCAATATTTTTAAATTTTGTTTTTGTATATTCAATTTTTAAAATACTAAGAAGAAAGCTTGTTAGCGCAGCTCCTTTGAAGCTGAAATGTGGAACTCACATATATCCTTAACCCTTAATATTCTAATCCATCATATGTGAACCGAAAAATATCGTGTACACTGCAGTTATTTTCATTAATAATCAATGATCAGAACGAGACTTTGTTATTTATTTCTACACTTAAAACAGAAAATTTTTAATTTTCTGGCAGGCGCTCTTATTTTTCGTTTTCGTTGTTGCTATTCGTTCAGTATTTTTCATTTTTCACAATTTTTTTTGTCTTAATTCTATATTTTTTTTTATTATAGGCATTACATTAGACGGTAAATGAAATTATTACATAGGCGTTTATTTATTTATTTATCCACTATTTAATCTTGGTTGCTAAGGTCTGTAATGGTGTCCTGTCTGTAATGGTACCATGTCTGTAATGGAGGTATGTCTGTAATGTTCTCTTCCTCGTTGCTATGGTCTGTAATGGGGCCTGTCTGTAAGCGGAGGGGGAGTCGCCAAACCTCGAACTTGAAAATTACACTCATTATTTTCTTCGAAAATATATGTGAGTTCCACAAAATATTATAGAACTCACTCTGAAAAGACTCACTTTTTCCATTCAATCTTCAATGGATTAAAAAATACCAAATCCAATGGCTGAAGCAGATGAGTAGCATTAGATGGAAGACAAACAATAATACTAAATATCAAGATATTTTGCTTTTTATTGACCAAAAACAGTTAGTAACTTACATTTGATTTCGTATAGCTAATTGAAGAGTATCAACTGAAAAATGGCTACCATGACCATCGACGATGAGTAACAATGGTCGTGGTGTATTTTTTGTTTGTTCAACAAAAACTTGTTTGAACCATTGGTAAAACAAATTTTGATTCATCCAGCCACTACAAAAAGATTCTCATAAATTTACCATGAAAAGTAAAATAGGAAGTAGATAATAGCGTCTAAATATAGAAAAAAGTAATATATGCAAACTTTTACCGATAAAATGCGTACGTATTATATATATGTTAAAATACAACATCACTTCTTAATTCGACGGTATCAACATTACAATGTTTTAGATGTGTATGAAGTTACAATCAAACGCTGTTTGTTATCAGCAACTTACTTTTCAGAATTTCCATAAGCAGCATTTTGCGGTCCACCAATCCACCATTCCTCATATAACCTTCGTCCTTTATAAATTATGAAAGGTGGTATAAGTGCACCAGTTGCTGAACCACAGAATAGAACACTGGTGTATGATTTACCACCGGTTCCGCCCTGTATTCTATATGCATAAGATGATTGACGATGTATAATGACCTTCGAATAACTAATTCCATCGGACAAACCTATAAGGTGATAAATACTAAAATAAAATTCATTTTAAAATTGAATATAACATCTTTACCACTCTCATCACAATTAAATATTTGACCAGGTCGATGCATCAGATCATTTTCTTGAATAATTTTCGATAGTAAATCAAACCATTGATTTACTTGTTCAATAGTTAGATTTGCTCGTTTTTTTGTAATTGGTTTTGACTTTTTTAAAACAAGATTTGGATGTCTTTGTAAAAATGAATAAAACCAATCACAAGTAGGTGCACCTGATGGGAAAAGATCACTTTTATTTACACTTGATGCATACTGTTTTGCAAGATTCATAAATTCATTGATTGTTAATGATACACCCCAACTCTTTTTATTAAAAAAAACGTCAAAAATATCATAAAAAAGAATAAGAGGCATCCTTACCTGTAAGGCTAAAGCTGCTTGTTCCAGACAAAGCTCTTCTTCCTTATCAAATTTCGGTGGTCGACCAACATGATGATACAAAACAAGATTATTCGAATGAGAATTCAAAGTAGTATAAGGAACTTTATAATATGCAGATGCCGCACGTATTGAATCACCATTTGCAACTGCATCGATTGCTAATTTAAATTTTTCATCACTATATTTTTTCATTATATTCTTTTTTTTGTAAATTCTTGGCATTTATCAAATTTATCCTTTTATTTCGAATGCAACTGACCAGCAATAAAGAAAGATGGTAATAATTAGATAATTAGGCATTAACGACTATGCACAACAAGACTGAGAGAGAGAGGGAAAGAGAGAGAGAGAGCAAAAAAAAAAGACGGCTATATCGACGACAGCTATTCTTCTCCTTCTTTCCTCTCGCGTCCAGGCATACGATTTGATAATTAATTATTTCCGATAAGCACAATAAAATAGTAAATCTTTTTCTGCCGTATGTATCAAATGTAGACAAATAATTATCATTATACCATGAAAAAAACTGAACAAAAATCTCTGAAAACGTTATTTAATATAGTCACCAACAGTCAAAGTATATACCTACCTAAACTATTCCTCGTAAAATGTTTGAAGATAATAAACCAACAAAAAAATAATTCCACATCAAAACAAAAGATAGATTTAAATGACAAAATTATTGTCAGCTTAAAAATGTACTATAATACACTAAAAGAAC